TCTGCTCAGCAATAACAAAAACATTTCTGCATTATCAGCTCTGTGTTCTGCACAAATCCTAAGCATAGCCCCATACTAGCCACTGTGAAGAAAGTTAACTCCACTTCAGCCCAAACCAGCACACCTTGTATGAAAAGCTTCAGTAATGTCCATTTTCTAACCCTTGGCCCAGCCCAAAGGAATGAGAATGAGTGACAATTAGGAGTTACAAACTAATTTCTGCACCTGTCCAGAAGATCAAAATCTTTGGGAAAAATGGCACCAAGGAAATTTAAAGCACTAAGAAAAGTATACAAGGGACATCTAAAATGCATCACTGGTGAAAAGTAAGTCAATTCTTTCTGCCTTTAAGTCATCAGTAAGAAAATTAGCCTAAAAATAAAGTTATGAAAATAAGACTAGGACATCTAGCAAAACAGAAAGACAATAAATTCTTCCATTTTTTATTTGAGAAAATACTAGGCGATGATTGCATAATTAGCATGGATAACGGAATATAAAGATTCTGCCAAGCCAAATCTCTTCTTTTGCTTTTTAAGCATGGGGGAGAAAAGGGAACAGTGTGTCTATGTTCCAATTTCACTGTGGCATTTCAGTGTCTGACAGCATTTTGATTAAGAAATCTGCATCCAAAATAAACACCCCACATTAAATGGATTAAAAACTCATAGACCATGAAATGCCAACAGTAAATAGAAGTCAGCAGCAGCAGTAAATATGTGTTTCTAGAGGGCTCTAGCATGGATTGAATCATAAACTGAGGTTATTCAACACTGATCAAAACCACATTTCCACACATTTATAATTTATGTCACAAAAATTAGCACAATTTAGCTCAAAGAGCTCTGCAGTCCTGGAACATGGCTGGTTCCAACTAGCTGGACAGCTCTATGATTTCCAGATCTGCTCTGCAGATGTAACCAGAGGCTTTATATTTAGACACAACTGATATTATGTTGGGGTACAGATTTTAATCACTATGGCTTTTATGAGACATGCAAAAGACAAGAAGGGGGAAGGAGGAAAGGATCACAAACAGCAAAAACATTTGTAGGCTGAGCTTTTCCCACTGAAGTCTTGGGAATCTGTTGCCATAGTTTTGACTGGCATGTTCTTCCAGCTAACAAGTGACAGATGAAGAGGGAATGGCCTCAAGTTGCAGCAGGGGAGGTTCAGATTGGAAATTAGAACAATATTCTTCAAAGAAAGGGCTCTCAAGCCTTGGAAGAGGCTGCAAAGGGAGTGGTGGAGTTACCATTCCTGGAAGTGTTCTAAACAAATATCCTTTTGAGGACATGGTTTGGTTTAGTGGTGAACATGGTGGTGTTGGGTTGATGGTTGGACTTGATCTTATAGATCTTTTCCAATCTTAACAATTCTATGTTCTGTGATTCTAAATGCATAACTCCTATTAAAAAAATAGGATTCAAACAGCATTTCCCATATCTTCCAGACTTGAATTTGCTTCAATATTCAGCATGGAGAAGAACAAGAGAGTGCTATGGAATACATCCAGTACAATCCACCTCCTCTGTGGTTTAGAAGTTAAGCAAAAAGCAAAAATCCAACACTAATTCAGGGTTTAATGTGCCACAGCTAAACACACACAGCTTTTTTAGCACAAGTTAAAGGTTAGACTCATCAGGGAACTTCTGAAGCTATTTGACAGCCCAGACAGATACCAACCCCAATCAGGTTAAGGAAGGTAGTTATGGTTTTATACTGTGGAATAATAAGGTTATTCCTAGAGCAGAGATCTGCAAGAGGCACTGAGAAGCTGACAGCACTCTTGGCCTTAAAACAAAGGATTTTGCCTTAAAAATTTATTCATAGAAGCTTTAGCTCAAACTTGTCTCTGCCTTCACATAACCCAAGTACTATAAAGTTTGGCTAATTAGCTCCAATTTTTAAATACTATTTAATTTTTCTTTCAGAAAAGAAAAAGGCTAGGTTAAATTTGCACAAAGCTTTTTGTCTACGAACTTTCTGGAGAAGAAACACAGACTTCCTTTATGTATTTAGCTTGGAACTTGCCTTCAACTAGACAACTATAAGGCCCATAGAAAAAGAGTCAAAACAGTCCACACAAATAAGTGATTCAACTCATCCTAAAGTAGATTTCTAAATTGGGTTAGAAAACGTGGAAGTGACTAAACACATGACTTGACTGCAATTATATAGAACACTCCAACATGACTAGTTTAGGTCTATACATAGTGAAATTAAATCAACCACAAGGTCAGCCAACAATAAACTCATCAACTAACTTTCTCACTATAATACACAGGTTAGAATCATAGCATATCCTGAGTGGGAAAGGACCCACAAGGATCATCAAAGTCCAACTCCTGTCCCTACACAAAAAAGCCTCAAGAATCATACCAAGTGCCTTAGAGCATTGTCCAAATGCTTCTTGAGCTCTGTCAGACTTAGGACCTTGACCAGTTCCCTAAGGAGCCTGTTCCAGTGCCCAGTCACCCGCTGGGTGAAGAAGCTTGTGGGTGAAGCTTTGGTTTTAACAGTTAAGGTTGTGATATTCTCTTTCCACATTCCACATTTTTAAGTCAAGAAGCTGCTGCCAGCTACAACGCCAAAGCACTCACTGCACCACTGAACAGGCAGCACTGAGCAGCTCTGTGAAGTCATCCCAGATGTCTCATGAGTGCTAACTGATTCCACCAAGGACCTCAGGGAAGATGACGTTACAGGTGGAGTGACCCAGGAGCTAGTTAGTGCACAGCTTTGTGCTTGGTCCAATGAGGTGACAAAAGAGTTTCCAGGACACCACTGGAAACAGTGTGACCCATTCTGACTCTGCACACAATTCCATCTGACCACAGCAGTCCTATGTTCCTGTCAAACTAGAACCTCAGTGAGCACCTCCCACACAACAAATTTAGTGTGAACACACCTATCATGTGAAATGCACTACAAAAGCTTAGGCAAGGGCTCTTTCTTCTGTCAAAGTGCAAACCAAAACTGAAGTTCATAGAATCATAGAATTTAAGGGTTGGAATGGCCCTTATAGATCACCTAGGCCCAATCCCCCTGCCATGGGCAAAGACGCCTCCCCACCAGACCAGGTTGCTCAAGGTCTCATCCAGCCTGGCTTTAGAGAGCTAAAGAGAACATAGTAAAACAAATTGTATCATGAAAAATGGTCACAGAGTAAAACTTTCATTTCAGAAAATAATCTTAAAAAAAAAAATATAATTTTCACTCTTTGGTTATCTAGTTTATTATCCCTCTGTGATACTACAACTCTTGCTTTGTGAATTGTTTGATGACGTCCCACTGCAAACTCAAATCTCTGAGAAGTACTTCAATAACTTCGACCGTTTTTTTCCTGAATAGCAATTATTTTTCCTTCAAAAAGGAAAGATCTTCTTTTGGTCTTTTATTATTGATGCCCAGTGCTGCTTTCTCTCTCCCTGACTCTCTCTAATGCCTCATGCCAGGCTTTAATCTGAACAAGTTATTATTCATTGGACTAACTGCATGATGTGATTGGGCACAAGGGCACAAAAAGGAGCTGAGACATTTAGAACAGCTCAGTGAAGGAACAGCTTGAAAATGCAGCACCTGGAAAGGAAGAGCTACAAAAGTATCAATTCCAAGCTCCATGGATGGGCATCCAACTCCTGGACCTTCACTATCAAAGTGAAGGTATCTAACTTAAACCTCAGCTGAACTTGCAAAATGCTTTTCCTCAAAGTGATCAGGTATCTAACTTAAATCTCAGCTGAACTTGCAAAATGCTTTTCCTCCAATTGTATCAGAAACTCTTGAATGACAGTTTTTTTAGAAACCCAAACTCTCTCCGAGACTAAAGGCCCTAGAAAGTATTTTCTCCTCAAAGAGTCTATTTTTTGCATAAAAGCTTCTCAAAACAATCTGACATTTTGACATTTTTCCATGTCAGGTATCTAACTTAAATCTCAGCTGAACTTGCAAAATGCTTTTCCTCCAATTGTATCAGAAACTCTTGAATGACAGTTTTTTTAGAAACCCAAACTCTCTCCGAGACTAAAGGCCCTAGAAAGTATTTTCTCCTCAAAGAGTCTATTTTTTGCATAAAAGCTTCTCAAAACAATCTGACATTTTGACATTTTTCCATGTCATTGTGAGCAACTTATATAAACTGAGAAGACTACATCCTTTAAAATCTGACAGATCCTGTGGAAAAGTTAAAGACTGTATTTTGGAGACTTACCTCACAATAGGCAATTTGGTGAATGGCACAGGAGGCAACTTCAAGCCATCTGGAAGTGCAATGACTTCCATTGTACCAGGGCATTTTGCTGTGTAGCTTTCCAAGCTCTGTGTCACATCTTTCTTTTCTAGAAAACAAAATGAAAATAAATTTTAAAATAAATTCAAACTGATATTTATTTAAAAAATTGAGATGAAGTTAAAACCTAAAGTTTTCTTTGGGGGTTTTTTTGTGGGGTTGGTTTTGGTTTTATTTATACAAAATAACTCTAATGGCACAACAACATGAGATGAAAAATATTAAAGGTAAGGAAGGCAAATTACTTTTGATGTTACCCTGTGTGAAAACTACATAATTCTCAAAATAATTGCATTGTATTACCCTACTAAATCATAAGACCTGGTAAGAAATTTTTTCTTTGGTTTGGTTACAAATACAAGAACATATAAATAAGCAAATACTACTTGGTTTAACTTCACTAATGTACAACAAATGAATTTTATCCAATAATTATTTTCAACAATGTATCCAATTGTGTCTCCAGGAAAAAAAATGCCTACTTGGAGACATACAGCTTCAACATATTTACATTTGATCTTTAAGGCCCCTTCCAACCCAAACCACTCAGTGATTCTATGATTCTGCATTTCTCTGATGAAACTGGAGTCTAAAAAATACTTCAGAGATTCAAATAGTCAACAATAAAACAAAATAGAAGAGGGAAGGATGATAACAAGTACTGCTGTCCAAAAAAATCTACTTAGATAAGGGTATTGGGTCATGCAGGAATGTTTTGGTAGTGAGGGATGACACAAGGATTGGCCTTTGGGAGAAGAGACCAGTAATAGCTTCAGGACAGAGCCAGTTCCAACCAAATCCCAACCAGACCTGCAGCTGCCCAAAGCTGGGACCGTAAGTTATGCTAGTGGCACCTGTGATAACATCTTTCAGAAAGGGCAAAAAATGCTCCATAGCAGCTGTGAGAGGGAAGAGTGTGAAAAATGTGAGAGAAACATCCTGTAAACCACATTGGAAACATCAAAAACCTTCCCAAAACACCATCTTGGGCCTTGAAAGGCACAAAGATCCACTGATGCTTGTGCTGCCCAGGTCAGTCCAGCTTAGTTAGTGATCTTCTACGACCATGAGTACACACATTTTCAAAGCCAATGAACATTGATTGCAATCCCCTTCACTGTGGGATTAATGCCACCTAACTGCCAAATTGCCTTGCTGGTGTCTGTGTTTCACTGAACTGTCCCTTCAGCCACTTCCCACAGTTTACCTGCCTGTAGGAAATGTACTCCAAAGCACATTATGAGACATCCATGCACACTCAAACCAGTACAGCACAGCCAGGAGTTGCAGTGGTTCAAGACTGAGTATTTGCATCAAAATTTCAGGTTGTCTGCCATGTTATACGAGCAAGGGCACACAGTGCAAACAGAATCCACCAAGATGGAAATCTTCACAGTTACGAAGAATGATGAAGACAACGCTACAGTGTGTGTCTAATTCTGCTTGAAACCAGAAGTGTGTCACTGTGAAGCACTGTCTTTCATCCCCCAGTGTGAAATGCTGTCAGTTACTGCACACAGAGAAAACAGGCTGCCACTTGCAAAAGCAATTTGTTTATGGATGATTCTTGAGCCACATTGTCACTTCACGGTAGCAGCTCAGTGTGTTTCCTGCAAAGACAAGGCTAAACCAAGCTGCTTTTCCACACTGATGTGGCATGAAATGCAGCTTTAAACATGCTGCTGCCAGGCCAGCAGCTCTGTTACTATTTCCTTAGCACCACATCTCAGCCAAGATGCTGAAGGAATCTACATCAGCAGGACATATTGAGAAGTATTCATGATGCCAAAGAGCAAGAACTGCATGGTCCTGCCTGAGAGCCACTTCTGACAGCAAATACTGGAGCCTTCTCCCTCGACTGAGCTCCTCGGCTCCCTGACCTCTGTGGCCTGATAGCTGCCAAAAACCTGCTACAAACTTCAAACTTCCAGTTTCAAACAGCTCTGAACTCCCCCAGCTCCTGCCTGTCATCATATTCTGACACAACCAGGAACTGCATAAACCTCCTGGGAACATCCATTCCACTTCTGAGCCTCCTTTCTGACCCACAACTCAGACAGTGTTTGCGACTGAAACAGTTATCACCAGTACTTATCCTGACCCACAGCTCAGAGAGTGTTTGTGACTGAAACAGTTATCACCAGTACTTATCCTTCCCTTTGCAGAAAAGAGACAGAAAACAGCTGCTTTTGGAGGGCTTTACCCACCTGGTGTCTCCATGCTTGTACAAATCA